GGGGGGGGAGCAAAAGCAGGTTCAGCAGAGAAGGGCAAAATAATGACGGGACGGACCCTTGACGCGGGCAATAGCCTCGGGGTCGTTCTTGCCGTAGTCGGCGGCGAAGCGCTCCTTCTGCTCGGGAGTGAAGAGCTGGAGGGCACGGTTGGCGAGCCAAGAGCTGGAACGGGGCAGGCGTAGCATGTAAGTACGGGGCAAGTTTGCTGGTGGAGCAGCAGGAGACACCTTGGGATGGGTGTGCGTGTGTGTATGTATGTGTATGTGGAGGGGGAGAGGCAGGGCGGTGGGCTGTCCATCTGGTATGTACCACTTGTTGTCCTGGATGTCGGTACCGATCTTGCCAAGGACCTCGGGGTCGGCGTAGCAGTCGAGATAGTCATCGGTGGCCTGGAAGTACTGGCCCATCTCGAGCAGGATCTTCTCGGCGATCTTGAAGGCGGGGTTGTCTGGTGGAGCGGGCGGACTAAGGTGTCAGGGCAACGAACTCACCAGATACAAGTAATGCTCTCTCTCTCTCTCTCTCTCTCTCACACACACACACATACATACACGATCGAATTGTGTGTGTATGCGTGTGCGCGAGACAGAGAGGATGGCCCAAGAGGCGGAGACATACCGGGAGACATGCCGTTCATGAGCATGGCAAAGGCCACCGGCAGGTAGAAGGAGTAGTAGGCGGTCTTGTACTGGATGATCCACTGGTAGCGCTCCATGGAGAAGAGCTCGATGTTGTGGTTGTCCTCCGGGGCAGTGATCAGGTCGACCAGCTGGCCAAAGACAGTCTGAGAGGTGACCTCCAGCATGAGCTCAAGCAGGTCGACATAGTAGGCCTCGGTGCGGAAGTACTTCTTCAGCAGGATGTAGATGGCCGACTCCAGGGCGAAGGAGTCATTGATGGCGAAGTTGCCGACCTCGGGGTTCTGCGGGATGGTGTGTTGTTTTTTCGGTCGCTGCCGTTAGAGCAGGCATCGGCAGGGGCTCGGGGTAGGGAGAAAAAGGGAGCAGATGGCATCGAGAGAGCGAGAGCGAGAGAGAGGAAGTGGCCTGGGGAGGGGGCGGAGACATTCTTGCGCACCTTGTACCAGCAGGGCTGACCACGGCGGGTGATGGAGCGGTCCATGATATCATCAGCGACCAGGAAGAAGGCCTGCAGCCACTCGACGGTCCAGCCAAGGACGAAGGCCTTGGTCACCTCGTCCTCGGTCAGGGGGCGGCCGACCAGGGCGGCGTAGGTGTCGTGAACCGACAGACCACGGTTCATCTTGCCACCGGGAACATTGTAGTTCATCATGCGGTCGAGCCAGTTGAAGGCATCAACGGGGATGTCTGGAGGCACGCGCGCACACGCGCGGAGGAGGAGGAGCAGGAGCAGGATGGAACAGAGGTCAGGGCCGATTGCAGACATGTGCGCAGTCTGGTGTGCGGGCACTGGCGCGTGCGGGTGTGCGGCAACAGGGAGGAGGCAGCAACGCACTGATGGTCTTCAGGTGAGCCAGAATGTCATTGGACAGGGTGGGGAAGAAGTCCGCGAACTTCTGGGCGACGGAGTCGGACATGGTGCGGCAAGGAGGGGGGGGGGGAGGGACAGCCAAGTCGGAGGAGGGGAGGGGAAGGGCCGTGTGGATGTGGAGGGTGGACACCCAAGGTGCCCGCTTGGGGCTCAAATAGTTCTCTGTCCTCTTTGCCCCCCCCCCCCCCCCCCCCCGGCCCCGCGTGGCATACAGGCCAAGCGCCGCCATGGTTTCCAGCCGCATCCGGCAGATCGTGCAGAGGTGCGCCTGCTGGCCCTGTCCCGACCATGCCCTCCTCCCTGCGGGGGGGGATTCCCCCTCTCGGCGCTGACATCGTCCCCCGTCCCCCCCTCCCCCCCCCCCCCCCCCCCCCCCGTCTCCTTGACGAGTGTGTGGCCAAGCTTGCGATCACCCGCGTGGAAGGGGCGACCGCCGGCCTCCCGGCCCCCTTGCACACGCTGCGCACTGCGTCTTAGCTGGCCCGATCCCTATGTGGCGCGGAAAGCCCCCGAGGGAGTTCACACACATAGACTCGGGGACAAGGCACTTGCCGGCATCACGCCACACCGTGCCTCAAGCGATCGCGCCACTACGCCTCTCCCCCCCTCCTGGCATGCACAGCCACAACCCCATGCTCTCCGGCCCTGCTGGTTGGTGGTTTGCCACGGCCGGGGTGTCCCCCTCGGGGGGAGGGTACTTCTCCCAGGGAGGCTGTTGCCGTCCCCGACGAATTTGGGCTCCTCCGGGGTGGGGGGATGGCCACCTTGTCCGTCCCCCCCCCCCCCTTTCGCCAGCCCAGACGCCCGAAGGCCAGGAGAAACCGCCGCCCCACCAGCCCAGATGCACCGATGGCCTGATGCCGTTGTTGCCACCAGGAAAAGGGGTCTCCCCACCGAGGCAGGGAGCCTTCCCAGACACACGGCGGGAACATCCGAGCCAGGTGCCCCCCGACCGGCCCCTCCGGCGCGGGCGCCTGCTCAGGCAGCGTCCCCCAAACCCCCACGACCGGAATCACTGGTTGGACCGCAGGTCACAATCTCCGGTCCCGTGACATAATATTAGAAATGAATGTCATTGTAGAAGGAATGCGCACCGGACAACGGACGAGAGGCCGCTGAGTGCAGGGCCGCTGGCGGGGACCCAAGGGAAGGGAGGGCACACACTCGTGTACGCGGGGTTCTCCGGCCCACCCCGCGACCTACCCAAGGTCGAAACGGGGGACTCCCATGGGGAAAGCCTCCTGAGAGTGAACACTGTGGAGGCCGACGATTGTGTTTATCGGAGAGGATGAGAAAGCATCCCCTTTGAAGACTCCGCCCAGCCCGTGAACATATCTGTTCTAAGGCCGTCTCTCGAACTCCTTTTGTTGCACGAGTTGCTTTGTCTGCCCGCCCGCTAACTCGCCCTCCGGTCCTGTTACCGCTCTCCCTTCCCAAGTAACACTGTCCCCCCCCCCCCCCCCCCCTGTTCGGTGCGTCCTCCTTTTAGCCGGGAGTGACCCCCAGCCTGTGGCAAGATCCCCGGCATGGCTTCCGCCAAAGCTCCACACCTTTAACGTAAGGCTGGATCCGCGAGAACCCTGCTACAGCGGGAAATTCTCTGTCCCCGTAGTTTGTGCGCATTTTCTTGTGCAACAGGCGTCAGCAACTCCTGGAGCGTCCCCACCCCCTTGTTTCCGGCTCAGCAGGGGGACCCTGCGCCCCCTGATTAGGCCAGCGGGGCCGATTCATTTGGCTGGCGGCTGGCCTGCTTCAGCGACACTGGGCCAACTGCCGCCGGAGCGCCACTCCATAATAGTATTCCTATGGGCTCCACCAGATCGACCCCCCTATCCCATCCCAAAGACAGGCCTGCCAGTATGCCCGCCCGCCTGCGAGGAGCCCACAGGGTGTACGACGGGCAAACAAATTGTGGACCATCTGTGCCCCTCCATCCAGGAGTTATCAACCCACAATTGCACTGGATCCCATTCCGACCGACCGACCGACCACTTGGCGGGCCGCACCGCCAGCAGGGCCGAATGCGGCCGAGTGCGGCCGAGTGCGACCGAGTGCGACCGAAGGCGTCCAGGGAGCGAGGGTGGGTGCCGAGGGGCACGGCATGCCACCGCCGACCGGACAGGTGGTTCCTTTCCGACTCTTCGGGAGAAGGCTCCCCGAAGCATGGGCCACAGGCCCTGGATCGCCACCCGTGAGTGGCTCTGGCTCTTTGCACCTCGGGGCGCCACCCACTACCTGCCTGCTCGTGCCTCAGGCAATTCTGCCTGGCTACGAGGGTCCCCGCTACCAAGGCCACGTCCCATTGAGGCAGGTGCCCAGTGTCTTGGTTCCCTGAAGGGGTCGGCGGATTCCCGCATCGACCGAGGCGCCTGGCGGATTCCATCCGGGGTGTCCAGGGCCGGTGGGCCTGTATGTTCCCGGTCACCAACACGAAGGACCCTGTACGCATGCTTGGGGCACGAAGGCAGGCATACCCGCCCTGGTGGTTGAAGGCGCACGAAGGCACGCCGGTCCTGGAGACAGGCGAACAGCAGACCTGGGCGCGGGGACGCGGGGGGCGAGGGGGCGAGGGGGGCGAGGGGGGCGAGGGGCGAAGCGGAGGTCGCGCCTTCGGTGGCCGGGGGCACCGAGAGTGCCTGATCAACTCGGCCCCTGGAGCATGCATTCCCCCTCGGTGGGACATTCTTGGGGGGCCTTTTTGAGTCCATGCCCGAAGGCTCGGCTCCGCCTCCTCTCAGGTTTGTACCGGCATCGGCATCGGACCGCGTCTCCAAGGGGCCGGAATTAATGACCCACCGTCTGAGTGGGTGGCTCTTGGGCATCCGTCGTTCTCCCTCAGCTGCCCCCCTTTCTCGAGCCCCCGGCTGCATGGCGTCAGATCGATCCTGACTGGAACATTAATTCCTCACCTCTCACCCGAGCGCCCTTTCCGAGAGCGCATGGCATTTCCCGCCAGAGATCGCAGCGAGCCGGGATCGCGCGAAGAGCGGGGGGGGGGGGGGTCCCCTTGTCTGTGTGGGGTGGTTGGTGGGGCTTTTGGGGTGTCGTTTTGTAAATTTTTTTTTTTTTGTCCCTTCTCCCCCTTTTGGTCTTCCCTTTTTGATCCACTTTCAATTCCCCCCTCCCCCCTCCCCCCTCTCCTCCGCACATACTTCCCCTCCACGCCACTTGGTTCCTCTCACAACCACCTTCCAAACGCCTGTTCTCACCAGGCTCTCGTAGCCCCACCGCCCGGAGCTTGGTCTTTGCCTGCAAACAGCCCGGCTTGCCTGCATTTCCAGGAACAGCCTGTTCGGCCTTTGGCCTTGCACTTCCCTCCCACGCGTCTCTGTGGCACCTTCCCTCGCAAAGCGGCCCTGCCACACGCGCAGCCATGTCGCAACACAGCAGCAGCCTCAGCCTGCCCAGCGTGCCTGAGCCGCCCCCGCCCGGGGCAGCCAACAAGGCCGGCTGGCAAAAGTGGGTTGTTTTCCCGGTCCTGGTAGCCACCATGGTACGCGCGCGCCTGGCCCCAAGCCCCGACGCATCGCCCCTTGCTCACACCATCCTCCGACCTGGGTCCCGGCGCCGACGCATCGACGGTGGCCCCACGTGCAGTGCGTCTTCGGGGGCTACTCCGTCATTGCGAAGGTGGCCCTGGAGAAGGACACCGATGCCGTGGTGATGGCCGTCCTGCGGGACTTCTTCGCGGTGCCCCTGCTCCTGCTTGCCGGGTGGCTGATGGAGTCCCGTCCCCGGCACCAGCGCTGGCGTCGGGCCGTGGAGCTGGTCCAGCGGGCCTGGGCTCCAGATCAGCCGGTCTTGGACCTGTCGATCCCGGTCAACGAGGCTGACATCCGATCGTACGGCGGCCTGCGGGGCAGCCATTCCAACAGCCACGCCCCCGGTGCCCACAATGGGGCCAGCATCAATGGCGGCGCGGCCGGAAGCTCGACCGATGGCCCGGGCCCCGGTCGAATGCACCTGCCCTCGGTTGACCACGACCTGGACATGCTGGACCACCGGCTCTTCAAGTGCAGCGGCGTTTGCGAGATGCTCAGTCAGACGTCCGGCGCCTCGGGCGGCAGCTCGCCCGGCAGCCCGGGCCCCCCGGCCCGGGGGGGCTACTCGCCGGCCATGCCCAAGTCCAGCGGCCGGGCCAGCCCCGGGGCTTCGGCCATTCGGCGCCAGCCCCCGGCCGGCATCCCCACCCAGTGGCCACTCCCCGACCGGGAGAGCATCTTCGGCCTGCTCCTGCTGGGCGGCTGCCTGGTGCTCAACCAACTGTGCTATGCCTTGGCCCTGGCCCGGGTGTCGGCCGTGCATGTGGCCGCCCTTCAGCCAGCGGTGCCGGTCATCACCATGGCCATCGCCTGTAGCATTGGCGCCGAGCGAGCCCGCTCGTGGATGGGCTGGGCCTTGCGCTTTGCCGGCACCGCGTGCGCCGCGGCCGGGGCCCTGCTGGTGGCCCTCGGGCCGCTCATCATCCCGGACTCGGGCGACACCATCCCCGGCGAGGGGGACATCGACTTCCCGACCGAGGATTTCCCCTCCTGGGAGGAAAGCAGCCTCGGTGGGGGTAGCTCGGCCGACGGGACGCCCGGCGGTGATGGAGGCTTCGATGGGCCGGACTCCGGCTCCGGGCCCATTGGCCGCATCATTCGCAATGCCACCGAGCAAACGCTCGAGTGGCTGCGCGGCATGTCGGCCCGGCCTGACTCGGCGGCGCGCACCCTGCGTTCGCACTTGGCCCGGTCCGGCCTGGTCTCGGTCGCCAGCCTGGATCGCGAACTCGACCCGGCCCCGATGCGGCCCTTCACCGAGACCACCTACGATCTGGTGCTCGGGAGCATCTTCCTGCTGGTCAACACCACGGCCATGTCCCTGTATGCATTGTACCTGGCCGGCTTCATGAAGAGTCGCCCGATGCGCCGGGCCCAAGTGACCCGGCGGGTGGAGGAGGAAATGGCCCTGACCGCGGCCGGTCCAGCGGCCGGGGCACCTGGCAGCCGGTATCCCTCCGGCGCTCGGCGCCATTCGATCATCGACCTCAATGCCGTCGGCACGTCGATCACCATTCGCCCGGTGGGCATCGAGCTGCCAGGTGCCCCGGCGCCCGGGTCCGATCAGGCCCCGGCGCCCGGGTCCCCGGTGGCGATCGGCAGCCCGCGCATGCACATCCAGGTGTCCGGCTCGGCCCCGGCCAGCTACTTGGACCTGGATGCCGTGGTGGGCATCCCCCCACCGCCGGCGACATCGGCCTACCACCCGGCGGCCAGTCCCTCGGGCCTCAATGGGCTTGCCGTGAGCATCAATGCTCCCGGCGGCACTGGCACCGGCACCGGCACCGGCACCGGGCGCACAGGGACCGGCCTCTCGCCGGCCCTGCCCCCGAACTACTCCCCGGCCGGGTCTTTCGGCTTTGCCCGGCACTCGCCGTACCACCATGGACACGGCGGGCACCAGGCCGCCGGTCGGACCACTTGCAGTTGCTTCCTGCTGAATGTCGTTGAGCCGGGCCTTTGCCAGGCCCTGCGCGAGGACATCGATGCCGGCCCGGCGCCGATCATCACCACCGCCTGGGCGTACGGCTTCGCCACGCTGCTCATGTGCATTGCGCTGCTTGGCTGCCCGCCCGGACTTGGGGACTATTGCACCTCGGTCCGTTGGGCCATTCCCACCGAGGCCTGGTATGCCATCCTCTATGGGGCGGTCGGATGCTCGGCCCTGGGATTTGGCATTGTATCCTGGGCCTCGGGCAAGGGGGGCGTTTCGGCCGCCGGGGTGACCGCCTTCTGGCCCATCCAGCCGGTGGCCTCGGCCGCCCTGTCGGCCCTGGTCTTGGGGTACATTCTCCAGTGGACGGACATCGTCGGGGCGGCTCTCGTGGCCGCCGGCACCCTGCTGGTCAGCTGGATTCGCGCACGCGAGGAGGCCCAGGAGTCGGCGGCCGCCGCGGCATCGGCGGCCAACCAGCGCCGGCTGTCGGTCACCGGCGCCGGGGCCAGCCTGTCCCCCACGTCGCAGTACATGTGGAGTCGGCGGCGGAGCTCCACCGTCGGGCTAAGCCCACGCCCTGGGGGCGTGGGGTCTCCCAATTCCCCAGGGTCCCTCTCTCGGCGGGACAGCATCCAGGAGTACGATGAGGACAACCCCTTGATTATGAACCATCGCTCGGAGCTGTAGGGCCACGAGAGGCTCAAGGGCAGGAGCCTTCACCGACAGGCGAGCGAATGAGCGGCCACGAGAGAGACCTAGCAGAGTGAAGGAGGGGCGAGGGCCAGGCCGACAGGCAGACGGACACATGGTACCACGCGTAGGTGGCACTATGTTCTGAGCGAGGCAAACGGGCGGCCGCCGGCCTGGCGGTAGTTTTGCCAGGACTTTCGCGCGTGTATTTTCCCACGCCTGCCCTTTGTGCCACTTGCTGCTGCTTTTCCGGCGCACCTCAGCCCAATGTACTACGAATGAATGCCCCGCCGCGAGTCTGCGTGGGACACGTATCCGGGCACGGAATTCGACAGGGGGTTGACAAGGCCCACCTGGGCAGCCAATCAAAGCCGAATGCAGGGGCGAGGGCGAGGCAGACACGGAAATAGACCCCCCCTCGCCCCTTTTTTCCAGGAGAAGAGGCTCCTAAATCAGACTGGCCGAAGGGTGGTCGGCAGAGAGGAGGGAGGGTAGATACACACCAAAGGGGAGAGAGGAAAAGGGAAAGAGGGGGCCAGGAGAAATGGTGTTGCTTGTATTTTCCGACCCCCCGAAGGAGGCTGGCAGCACGACTAGTCCATCTGTCGACTGAGCCAGGTTGTGGCGAAGGCGGCGTCCACGAGCGGCTCGGTGGCCGTCGACGCTGCGGACACCCCGGTCGACGACTCCTGGAAGAAGGCCCCAGCCAGCAGGGACGGCACCAGGGAAATGTTGTGCAGCCAAATGCTCAGCGGGTTGCCCTTGGTGGCGGCTGCCGGCCCTGTGCCGGGAGACACCAGCCCAAGCGATGAAGACCCGGATGACGAGCCCGAGGACCCGCTGCCGCTGGCCCCACGCCACTCCTCGACCACCGTGGTGTCTTGCTGCAGGGCGGGCAGAATGGCCGGGATCATGGCCGCCACCGAAGCCTCAATGGCATGCTGGAAGATGGGCGATTCCAGGAGATCGGCGAATTCGTCAGCCAGCCGCATGCGCATATCGCACCCTTCAAAGGGTGACCCGGAGTCAGAAGGCCCGGTGCTCGCCAACCGGAAGGACTCCAACACCCGACTGACCGCCTGGGTGCAAATTGCCTGCAGCCAGTGTGCCAGCTGCAGCGGGGTCACCCTTTGGGTCAGGCTCTCGATGGATAGCGAGAGCGCTGGCGGCTGCGGGGCCCCGACCGGGTCCGAGCCCTGCAAGCCGGCAGCCTCCGGAGTTGGAAGTGGAATGGCCTGGGCCCCGGCCACTCGGACCTGACGCGACACCATGGCAGCCAGCTGGCGCCACTCGGCCGATTCCGGGCTCGTGGTGCTGGACATGGCCATGCGCAGAAGCGACTGCGTCAGCGGCTCGTCCGACTCCTCGGCCGGCAGACTGGACCCGGAGGCAGGCGCATCATCGGACCCGGTGGCACAGCGGCCGGACTCTGACGGGGCAATGGCTCGGAGGTAGCGCTCGCGCGACACCAGTGACAAAACCAACCGTGACCGGGCGCTGATCATGGAAAAAAGCAACACCGACAAGGCAATGCTTTCCACGCCTGCAAGTTGCCGCACGCGAGCAGGTTCAATGCAGGGGAGGGCGAGGGGAAAGGTGAATAGGGGGGAGGGAAGGCCAGGTGCACGATCCACAAATGCCCTGTGGTTAGGGGCGGGCCTTGGTGAGGGGGGGGGGGAAGGAGATTTCGAAGAGACTACGCACAGGAGGTGAGAATGGCAAGCATCTGATTGAGAACCTCCTCTCGGTCGATGGCATGTTGCTCGCGCTTGGCGGCGATCTCCGAGAGAGCCTATACACGGGGAAGCGAGTCAGTCGGAGGTCCCACCTTGGCACATCAGGGCGCCCTCTAGCAGGCGAGTGGGTGGCAAAACAAACCTTGCGTGTGTCCACGGACACCGTGCGTGTCACCAGTTGACACAGGTTCTTGGCAGTCTGAAGCCAAATGGAATGGCTCAATTTGAGCGCGGCATCAAGACTGGGAGCGGAAGACGGTCAGGGAACCACAGCCGCGAGGTGAAAGCCCAATCAAAGAAGGAAAAGGCCCTCACCCGGGACGCACGTCGATTGGCGATGAGATAGCTCCTTACGGTTCTTCTGCGCGGTGCTGTAGCTGTCGAGAGCAAGTTGCGCGCCAACAACACACCAGGCCCCGATGGCAACTGGGAGGCTGGCCTTCACGGCCACGCCCCAGAGTGACCGCAGCATGGTGGAATGGCAGGTGGCGAGAGAGAGAGAGAGAGAGAGAGGGAGTGGGAGAGCGAACAAGCAAGGAAAGGCGGCAGGACAAGGCAGGGCAGGGGGGAGGGGACTTGGGGATGGACCCCCAGGCGGGAAGCCTGGGTGCATCTTTGGACGCACTTTTGAGACAGGTTAGCAGGTGACCGTGAAAATGTGTGTTTGTGATGGTGTCGGTGATGACAAGGAAGCCGGAGAGGAGCCGGGCACGGAGCCGAACGCGCGAAGAAGACCACCAGACGGGGAGGGGCGGGGGGCCGGAAACCCGCCCGAGAACGACTCACACCCCCGGTCGATTCCCACGGTAGGCCATCACTCTCGGACCAACATCTGTTCATTCAGTACAGCCAACGCTCCGCTCGGCTATGCGCTGTGATAGTGCTTCTTAATCGGAACTTAATCCACCATTTCGAGGGGCCTGTTGCTTGGGCCTGAGAGTATCATTGTGTCCCCAGGCGCACGGGCACGCACGCGCGTGTGCGCGCGCGCGCGCACGCACAGGCCCATGCCCGCCCTCCGGAGGGGCGATGTGTTCAAACGCGCGCGTCTGGATGGGATGCAGCTTTGTTTATTGTTGATTTTGGTGGCCGACCACTTGCCTCCTCCGTGTTTTGTGACCATGTGTGTGGCAGTAACACGAAGCAAGAAGATAAACCTGCCAGGGCAAATCCCATTCGGAGGGGAGCAGGAAGAGGTCAAGGAGGAGGACAGTCTGCTATTGTCGTTGTTGGGAGTTGCTTTTTTTTTTTTTTCAATGTTTGAGCCCCCTTTTCCGGAAAAGGAGGGCACAGGAATGTGAAAGATACGAGGGAGCCGGAGTGCGGGGCCCTCAGACACGCTGGCCGTGAATGCGCACGCGGTAGAGGCAGGTCGACTCGGGCTTCTCCGGAGTCGAGTGGTTGTCGAAGACACGCAGGACAAAGATCTGGTGCGCGATGGTGGACGTCTGGAACATGGGCAGAACGTCGAAGGTCTGGATCGAGGAGTGGCCCTCGCCAACCTTGAAGATGCCTCGCGCGACCTGAACGCTGGACTCGGTCAGGGGGTCGTAAGCCTGCGAAGTGGAGGCATGGGCAGCAGAGTGGGTCAGGAACCAGACAGGCAAAGGGAAGGGAGGGAGGAGGGGCGAGGGGGAGAGGGGAGGCCAAGGGGCCATGAGGCAGTGCATGGACGGACATTAAGGGAGACACGCTTGGGAGCAGAGCCGGAGCTCGGAGCGATGGCCGGATCAATGTGATCAATGGTGAAGCCAGACACGATGATTGGGTACGGCAGGCGAATGCCGATGGCGCCCTCCTGTGCGCCGAACTCGTAGCACCATCCGCGCTCATAGTAGCTCTGCCAGAAAACACGGGGGGACGAGAGAAACGCATGAGTGTGTGTGTGTGTGTGTGAAGAAAAGAGAGAGAGAGAGAGAGAGTGCTGTTAGCTTCGAATAACGAGGTGCGGGTGGGGGATCAGGCGAGATGGGAAGAGCCACGCACACGGAGGACAGTCTCCGGGCTAGGGAGGAAGGTGGGCCGGGTCTTCTTGCGGTTGCTAAACAGACGACCGATGAGCGACTGACGGTCGGCACTGGCATCCGTCGGGCGGGCCAGCATTCGCGGCGCCGTGGTCATCGGGTAGTAGATCGAGGCACCGGCCGATTGAAGAGCGTGGTCCACCTGACCAATGTAATCCTTCAGGGGGGAAAGATGACCATCGGTCAGGGTGGGTGGCGTCTGCGCCGGGCTGGCCGCCGCCGGCCGTTCGGCAATCTGCCGGATGCTGAACCGAGACGAGGGGACACGGGCAGACAGTGTACGAAGCACAAAAGGGCAAACACATGAGCACGGGAATGGGGAAGACGAAAGGTCAGCCAACACCCGAGGGGCAAATGGTAGATGGACGACCATCGGAAGGGCAAGAGACCAACGCCCCAAACACGCACATGACACTTGACTCGCGATGAGCCGACTCCAGCACGGCCAGCTGCTGTCCCTGGTCGAAGAGGCTGTCCGCCTGCTGGGCCAGCTCCTGGCGGAGGTCATTCTCCATCTTGATGGTCTTGCCCTCCAATTGGCGATCATTCTGCTCCATCAGGTCGATGCGCAGGGACAGATCAGTCAGACGCTCGGAGTGGCTCTCCAGCGACTCGTTCATCGACCGCAGGGCCTTGCCGAGCAGGACCACCTCCTTGGGGTCCACACCGCCGGCAGCTGGCTCTGGCTGCTGCTGCTGCTGCTGCTGCTGCTGCTGCTGCTTGCTGGCCGCAATAGCGCGATCAACCAGACCCTGGAGATCAGCATCCAGGAGAGCCTGGCCTACGAGGGCCGGGATGTCGGTTCGGCTAGCGCGTGCCATGCGCGCATGCTCCTCCGCATCGGCGGCTGACCGCTCAACCCGCGGCACGGCCTTGCGAATGAAGTCCACCTCATCAGACAACTGCCCGGCCAGGTCATCCACCGAGGTGCCAAGCTTAGACAGGCCAGCATACAGGGGCGACAGGGCGGGCGACTCCTCCACCCCAGCATAGAGGGCCTCGAGGATGGCCACCCGGTCGGCCGAGTCGCGGACGCCCTCCAGCTGGGCCAAGATGCTGGCCTCCTTTTGGGCAATGGTATCGAAGCGCTGGGCGAGCCTGGGTGGATGTTTCCCGGTGTTTGGTGTTTGTCAATTGTTAGAGAAGCAGAGGGAGAGAGAGAGAGAGGGAGTGAAGGGCGGACGAGGGAAGGCACTCTTGGGATGGGCAATCCGATGGCCAGACAGAGCCGAGATGAAGAACGGGCAAAGACGAATACGTACTCCTCGATCTGCGAAGCCACCTCGGCACGCAAGTCCGGCAGATACTTGTCAGCAAGCAGGTCGGCCAGCAGCCGAGATCCGGACGCCGAGATGATGCTGTCGAGATCGGCACTGCGAACAAAGTCCTGCAGCTGCACCGGATCCACCTCGGCGATGACTGGCGCCGCAGGGACGACCGGCTGCTCGGCGGCGGCCACATTCTTTGAAACAATGAGTGCTTCGGAGGCATGGGCCCGGGCTGCGGTGCACTCGCGCGACACACGCGCAAGCTCCGACTTCAGGGCCAACAGCTCATTGGTCAGCTGCTCGGCCAGGCCGACGTCAAGGTCACCCACGGGCGCGACAACGGTCGAGGGGATCGTCGGCCGGGCTGGAGTCGGCACTGGCACGAAGGGACCAGCACCGCCGGGAGAGCCGGGGCCGGAGGCCGCATCAAGACGCAGGAACCCTGGGACCATGCTGTTTAGAAGAGCACGCAGCCAATCAAGCAGCTGGCGAAGGGACCAGGTGCTGCGAGGGTCGCGCGTTGGCCGGACGTCCTCGGCGTCGGCGTCGGCGTCGGCGTCGGCGCCGGACTTGGGCAGGGGCTTGCGCACGGCAAAGAGCCCGGTCGGCAGGAAGTCCCCAGCCGTGGGGAGCGCCGGGAGGGACAAGGAGGGCAGGGAAACCGAGGGCAGCGACGATGCGGCCGGCAACAGAGCCACCGACGAGTCGACCAGCTGCCGCAACCAGGCCAGGAAGGACTGCGGGAGGGCCGTCACACCTGTATACACCTGACCAATGGACGCCTGTGCCTGCTCCGAGAGAACTTTCACCGCGGCAATGGACTGGCCCATCGGGATGCGATCGGCCGCTTGAGCCAGGGCCGTCTGCACCGAGTCCCGAACCACGACAAGGGGCTCGGTCAGGGCCATGCCCACTGGACCGCTGAAGAGGGCAGCAACGCCGCCGGCCCCAGAGGGAATATGGTGCCCGGAATTGGCGGACAGGGCGACCATCAGGACAAGGATGACCGAGATGACACCCATCGGCGACCGGGAGAAATGGTACGCGGTCCGAGAGAATGAGCGGAGAGACTGGATGAAGCGCTGCGGACAGAGGGGGAGAGGAGGATGAGGAGGAGGAGGAGGAGACGGCGGTAGGGGGCGGGAGCGGAGGCGGAGAAGGAGAGGGGTCAGCAAGGGGATGAATGCTCTACCGGAGAAGATGCAAAGGACCAAGGATGGCCGGAAGTGGCACAATGTCTGCAAGTGGATGGGGAAGTCACATACCCAAAACGCGACACCGATGATGGCGAATAGATGCCAGGTAAAGGTAATACAAGTGATGATCGCGGTGTAGGACACATTAACCAACAGGTACAGCAGGTACTTGGTCGAGGAGATGGCTGTGCTGAGCATGGTCAGCAGAGCCACCGGGACCTCAGTAAGCACACGAATGATCGATCGGTATGTGACTATCAGCAGGCACGGGAGAAAGGCCGAGAGGAGGAGAAGGGAGAGGGGGGGGGGGGGACGAAAGTGACGGAAGGAGGTGTGAGATGTGTGACGCCAGACGGAGGCATAAGCGTGGACGGCCGGGGTCCGGGTGCTGAGCAAAGCACGCACAATGCGAAAGGCTGAAGTCATAGGGAGCCTCGGTGATTAGGGGCGGCGGGGCGACGATCTGATAGCCGTCCGACGGCCGGTGATAGTTGACCGACTTCGGGGAGAGGGAGTCCTCATGCCGGCTCATGGCTTCGGCCTGCTCGAGGTGTTCGATGGCAGCCTGTAGTGAGGCGGCCGCAGCCGCAGCATTCGCGCCGGAGGGGAGGTCCTCCATGGCTGACCTGAGAACAGGGTGCGGATGCTAGGGATGTGGGGGGGGGGGGGGGGGGGAGAGAGAGAGAAGAGTGGGACGAAAGCCGGTATCGGTAGGAGGTGAGGCGGGGGCCGACAAAGGGGGCACAAGGACGAGGGAATGGGGCAGGAGGGAGTTAGGAGGGGGGGAGCTTGGTGGCACGTCAAGTCCAAGCTGGGGAGGGG